ACGAAACAATAACTATGAGAGGAGCATCAAATAGCTTCATGTTTGTACAAAGAATTATCGATATTGCCACCAGAAGTTAAGAAAATAAAACTGTACTCCGACACCTGTGGAGGACATTAGAACAAAAATTTTCATGTTGCTGCTGTTTCTAGCACTTATAGCCCAAAAACCGTCACTGGAAGAAATAATTCACAAATTTATGTTGTCCGGCCATTCGCACATGGAGTGTGATTGTGATCACTCGCTCACAGAAAAACAGAAGAAAAAATCAGGTATGAAAATATCTCATCCCCATGACTCGGAAACTTTAATTCGTTGGTCAAATAAAGCCAAACTGTTTAATGTGATTGAAATGACACAAAACTTTTTTTTTTTATTTTGCGGATTTGTTGAAGTCAACGTTGATGAGAAACCAATAAAACTCAGAAGGAGAAATTTTTAAATTACATGACTGTAAATGGCTTCGTTACACAAAAAACCTGGCATTATTTTTTATAGATATTCTTTAACTGGGGAAGAAATCTTTAAAGAACTAAATTTTAATCGACGAGGACGATCATCCAATTTACTTAAGATTAAAAATCGTTATGAAAATCCTTTGCCTATGCAGAAAAAAACACACCAATATTGGAACTTTTACCATTGGTTCACGAAGAGTACAGAAATTTTTATGAAAATTTACCTTTATTTTTCTTTTTTCTCATTATATTTTTCAGCCTTATTTTTTCCGCTACTGCTTTCATCTTCATCGCTATAGTTGTCTTTTGAATAACAGTTAAAATCTGGATCCTGTAAACTATTATCACTATTCCATTCTTCATTATCATCTAAAAAAAAAACCTTTATTTTCCATAAACCTGTTCCAATTATTTGCATTTTAAAGTAGCTAAAGTAGATATTACGACATCATTGTATTACCTAATTATAAAATAAATGCAGTAAAGTCTCTTGAACCAAAAAAATAAGATTTTATTTACCTATCTCCAATTCTATTCTTGGTTTCTTGGACACTGAAACTGCAGCTTCTCATTGAAGCTCTATAACGTCGTTAAAATTTGCAACTTCTTCAACGAATTTCGTGATTTATAATACTTACCAATATCTGGTTTTAACATTGCCAATATTTTTTGCCCTCTGCTTGATATTTTTATGATTTTTTCAATTCTATAGCATATTAACAATGTAAAATGAACCAAATTTTAATCAGCTGACCGCTTACGAACGATACTAAGGGTTTAAGTCCAATTGAAAAGTTTGGCTATGAAGAGTTATCTTCACTTAGGCCTTTACAATCCGTTTCTAGCAGTGCTCCAAAGGGCAATAGAAACTTAATTTCATTTTACCAGTTTAAATTCAGTTATGTCTTCTAAACCAAATACTCTGTATAAGTTATTAATGGGAATTGACTTATGTCGGTTTTACCGGAAAAGTAACTCGAAATATTATTATTGGAGATATATTCTGTGTTATTTTTTCAACGGCGAAACTGGTCAAAAAACTAAGTTCGTGACCATAGTAAAATGGTCTGAATAACACTTTCTTCATAGAAATAGGAACTACGAACTACGCTTCGTATCAAATAATCAAAGTAAAATTTCCCTCTCACAAAATGAATCACTTTGTAAGCATATTTTTTTGTTTTTCATCGCAACCGTGAAACTATATAACCGGAAAAAATACCCCGAATACCTTCGCAAATCGAATAAAGAAGCGTTACCGGTTAATCCGTCTTTCGAATTTGATCGCATCAGGTCTAATTAAAAATAATTTGTTGCTTTGTCCTCCAGCGACAGGGAGGAGGGAGGACCGCCTAATTGCCGTCGAGCGGCGGGCGCGAGAGTTAAACGTGAAAAACGTAATTAAAGAAAATTCTCCAATGACAGAACGCCGCCCGCCTCGCAATGAGACAAATTAAAAAGTTCTTAATTGGACATTCTTTCCGGAGCGCCAGTTCGGTCGGGTACTTTTGGGACGAATGGGGCGGGGGGGTCGAAGTCGGGAGGGCGGAAAGCGGAAAAATACGGCAATTAAACTCAATTAATCACTCGGAAAATCCGCAGTTTACTCACGAACGGAGGCCGGCGAGAAAATAGACCCTTCACGTTTTATTAGCGACTCTTTCGGGGTGGAAATAGACTTAAAGATGTGTACGATTTGGTTTGTTTTTAAGAAACAGAGTAAAAAGTGGAAAAGTATAAAAATGTTTGTTAAAGGGCGTTGAAGCTAGTGTAGGTATGTGGGGTCTTAATTAATTTAGTTGACCCCATTAAATAAAAAATACCTAATAACTTTATTTGAGATTTATTAAATATGTATTGGGATAAAAGGAACAAGACACCAAACGCGTAATTAAAAATCATTGATTTATAGATAAATAATTATAATCTTGGCAACCGAAGTTGCCAAGGAGATGAGTGTAATCTTTGTCATTACACTAGGACTGTCACGTAATGAAGGGTTGCTTAAAGGGTGATGTGATAAGTGTGTGTGACATACTAATTCTACAAAGGAATCTCATTATGTACAACCATGGAAGCCAAATTACTGAGGCCCTTCCTATGGGGCCTCAGTATTGCATTCGTGCAGACGAAAAAATGTTCTTATCCCCATTTTTTAAACTTTTTTCCCGTTTCCAAACATTCTAAGTCCGAAAATGCAAGAAACAACATTCGTCTGGTCGCCTATGCGTATGTATGCCGGCACGATAACTCTAGAACAAAAGTTCTGATTGACTTGAGGTTTTGATTTTCTTGAATAATTCCTTCTAACTTAAAACCCTATTGATTTTCAGAATTTTCGGCTCATCATAACTACTTTAATATCAATGCACTTAAAATCCACCCGTATGTGACTTATTTTACGCATTCTAGTTATTCCTAACGTCTAACATTCCTAACATTCCATACATTGCAAACATTCCAACATTAGACACCCCAACGATTTATGAAAAATACCTGTATACCTAAGCAGTTTCTTAAAAATTACTTTTTCATGGTGTTGCTAACTTATAGCGGATTCGACTGGCTGCATTAATGCGCATTTAGTTCGACTTTTTTAAGTGATGTTTGTTCGACTGACAGAACTTAATTAATTAAAAGTCAATTATTGCATTCGACTCAAATTGCTCGGTACCAAGCGTACCAAGGCATAGTGAAATTTTTGTTCGACTGGCAGGCGCTCTAGCTCAAAGTTCGAATTTTTTGGAACTGTACTTTTTGTCAGTGCCAGTGCCATTTTGGAGGTTAGGATTTATTTAATATTTTTAAATATATTACTATCTTTGTCTCTATTATTAGTGAGAATGGAAAATCTTCGAAATTAATAGAGATAATTTTTGGTTTGGCAACTATAAATAAATATCGTTAAAAATTTGTTAGAAAACTGAAATGTCAAGTGCTAACTGTGCCAGTCGAATAACGATAAAGATGCGCTACACCATTGTCGAACTGCTTATTGTGTGCTTATTTTGTGCACTGCTAGATATGAATTTGAATGACAAAAATGCTGCCCAAAATTAATTCAGAACTGAAAGCGCTTTGTAATCGAGCAAGAGCATTTGAGTCGAATCCGCTATTAAGCTTACTACTATTTTGCCCCTAGCCACAGTGACACCTTCATTAAATTTATTGGCTCTCTGCCGCAACCCCATATAATAATTAATCGGCAATTTTATTTGGCAAAAATCAGAATATTGCTTGGCAATGCCTGTCAAATATCAAGTTGTCAACTGTGAACTGTGAATTGCTCTTAAATGTCAAATTAAAATGATTGTATGCTTCTTTTGATATTAATTTTTAAATGCAATTTAAAAATAATTACACAAGTCAATAATATTATTTTCTTCTGGTTAATCGAATCGGTACACATTTGGTTGTTTCAAGGTTAAGCGAGTGACGGTTTTATTGTGATTTTCATATTTTATGAACCTTTTGAGATGTCTTTACTAACTGAATTTGAAAACGTGTTATTCAAAAATGACTTCCAGGTGCGTGCAGTCCATGGAAGCGGGGGTAGCACCGCTTTCCTACACTTTGAGATTTAAAAATTGATATGTTTCAGTTTAAAATGCGTAGAAATTAATATTAAATTAGGTACTATATTTTCTCTGAAACATTACGTAAACTTCGTAAATATACTAACATTTCATTGGTGTAATGTGTAAACGCACGTAACATCCATGAGAAAATTATTTGTGTAAACGTACACACCCTATACTTCGAGTCCGTCGGCGGAAGCGGGTCTTGAAAGAGCCGGTTCATCTTCCAATAGGTTTGGCTTCGTGGTATTGACCCTGCTTTGCCGCGACAGTGTAGTCAGTCCGTTTGGAAACGAAAAATACGGTCGAGAGGCAGCGATTTTGACGTCGCCTTACTCATATTACAATTCTTACCGCGAATCGACGTGTTTATTTTTCGTAGTTGTTTTTCTTTTTGTAAAATGGAGGAACTATGCACTGGGCCTGTGAACAATAATAATATGGTAAATTGTGTCTATATTGTGTGCTCTTTGTTTAAAAAAGGATTTTTAAGCAGAAATTTTGAAGAGAAAACGGACATTATTAATTCTAGTAAACTAAAGGATCCTATCAATTTAGAGACGAAAGTAGAAAAGTCAGCAAAGAAATTTACCAGGCTTTTTCACGTAGAGTTCTATGAAAAGTATGAATGGTTAACCAGCTGCAAAACTTTGAAGAAATTGTTTTGCTGGCCTTGCCTACTTTTAATATAGCCGAAAAAACACATTGGAACTCAGTCGGTATTACAGACTTAAATAATTTTCACAAAAGTGTAAAACGACATGTAAATAGCAAATCTCATATAAGTGCTACAATTGAAGAAAAAACATTCGGGACCTATCGCATTGAACATAGTTTGGACAATCATTTAAAAATAAGCAACAAAATTCACAATGAAAGAGTAAAAAAAAAATAGGGACGTCTTATAACGATTAATAGATGTAACTTGTTTCCTGGGAGAGCATGAACTAAGTTCTAGGTCACAATGAACCAAGTGGATCCGCCAATCGAGAAAATTACATGGACCTTCTCAGTTTTTTTAGCAAAATACGATGATGCCATAAAAAATCATTTTACTGATTCGACGACTTTCCGAGGTACTTCAAACAGAATCCAAAATGATTTATTTAAATGCACTGCCGACGTTGTGATGGATCACATTAAAAGTGAAATTAAAAAAGCACCTTTCGAATCAATTGGGCTTGATGAAACCACAGATGTAGCAAACTTAAGTCAATTATCCATTGTTGTGCGATATATATTGGATGGCATTTCTCAAGAGCGATTCTTAGGATTTTTGGACGTCACTAGCGAACGAACTGCAAATGCATTATTTAAAATTGTTTGTGACATTATTTCAAGTTAAGAATGTGGTTCTAAGGTTTTTGCCCAAAGCTACGATTATGCTACCATAATGGCTGGCCATTTAGGAGGCCTTCAAACTACAGTGAAAGAGAAGTTTAACCATACAATTTACGTTCACTATATAGAACATAGACTTAATTTGGTTTTATCGCGAAGCATGGATAATATTAAAGATTGCAAAGTTTTCTTTCCGACGCTTAGTGGTTTGGCTTCCTTCGTTTCAAAGTCATCGAAATGAACTCGCGCTTTGGACATTCACGTTCAAAAAAGGTTTCCAAAAGTTGCTCCGACGCGATGGAACTACAATGGACGTTTAGTGCAAACAGTGTTTCAATACCGTGATTCTTTGATACACTTTTTTCAAGACGTTTGGGATAATAAAGAAACATGGGATGCTGAAACTGTTACTGCCGCTAAAGGGTATTTGCATTAGCTCAAACAAAGCTTTGATTTCAATTTTTTGCTTAACATTTTTGCAGAGATTTTCCCTTGTACTGACATTTTATTCGACATTTTACAGACAAAGTCAAATGGCATTGGCTTTTGCATTAAACAAATTGATGATTTTAAAAATAAAATAAATTAAAAACGAGGGGGGTGGGTTGGCTCAGTGGTTAGAGTCATGACTTTGAGATCGGAAGGTCTCAGGATCGAATCCCACCGTTGGCCGGGATTTTTTCATTTAATTTAATTATTTAAAATTAATTCTGATGCCTTGGTAGGATTCCCCACTCGACCATTCACTGTTGGGTTCTAATTAACAGTGCTGTTCCTAAAGTGGCGCTGGGAAATAGTAACAAAGCCTACACAGAACACGATGCTAATGGCCGTAGTAGTCGACGCCGATGACACCAAATTAAAAAAAAAAAAAAATAAATAAAAACGAGATCAGTTTGAACACTTTTGGAATAAGACTCAAAACATTGGCTTCGAACCTGAAAGAAAGAGAATTAGAATTGATAATGTCGGCGACAGAGAGACCTCCTATCGTCGATTATACGGAGACATTTTTGATAATATTTTACAACAAATGAACTCTCGATTTCAAAACTTTAACGAATTACAATTTGTTGAATTGTGCAGTTTTAATATTAGTAACTACGATTCATCAAAATTTCCATCGGAATCTTTTGATTCACTAAAATTAAATTATGGATTTTTTTTCGATATTCCAGCATTAAAGTCCCAGTTAAGTGTTGTTTATGAAACAACTGAAATTAGTAATAAAAAGACGCCCATTAATGTGTTAAATTTTCTTATAACAACTGATTTAAATAAGTCCCTTTGTGAAGTCGTCAAGTTGTGTGAATTAGTACTAACCATCTCAGCCACAAGTGCGTCAGTTGAGCGAAGTATTTCAGCTTTAAATCGCATTAAAAGTTTTATACGAAATTCTACAAGTGATGACAGACTCTCTAATTTAGCCCAAATATCCATTGAAAAACAGATTGTTAAACAGTTATCAAAAAATCAAAAAAAAATTACGTCGATGTTATAGACAGTGACCATAGTGCCTTGCAGTGGCTGATGAATTTTAAAAAAACCTGAGGGACAAGTTGCTAGATGGATATAAATACTGCAACAATATAACTTTGAGATAGTGCATCGAAGGGGACGTCTCCATAGCAACGCAAATATTCTCTGCAGGCGACCCTGTTTAGAACGACAATGCCGGTACTGTAAAAGGCTTGAAGAACGAGAGTAGCTGGTTGAAGAAGTTAGTCTACAGGCAACCACTATCAAGCCAGAGGATAACGAAGACGGAATCACCCTTGAAAGCCTAAGAACGACTCAAAAGAAAGACAATGACTTGAAGGTTGTCCGAGAATGGCTCAAAAATGGAGTCAGACCTACATGGCAAGAAATAGCCAAATGTAGTGAAACCATTAAAGGGTACTGGACTCAGTGGGATTCCCTGTATCTTCACGATGGCCTATTGCACCGGAAGTGGGAGAGCCCCGATGAAGTACATGTAGTCCGCTGTGTGATTCTGCCGAAATCACAGGTCAGAAATGTATTGGAGGAGCTTCATAGCAGCCGTTCAGGAGGACACTTTGATACTAAAAGGAAACTTGCACGAGTTCGAGAAAGATTTTATTGGGTCAATTGCCGACGGGATGTAGAAGATTGGTGTAAGGAATGTGACCTCCGTAATGGCTAAAAAGGCCCAAAACAAGAAGTAGAGGTAAATTGACACAGTATCTTTCCGGAGAGCCTTTCGAACGAATCGCCATTGATATCCTCGGACCACTTTCTTTGACAGAAAAAGGAAACAAATACTTGATGGTTGTTATGGACTATTTTTCAAAGTGGCCCGAAATAGTGCCTATCCCTAATCAGGAAGCGACGATAGTAGCGGAAGCAATTATGACGAACGTTATTGCGAGACACGGAGTCCCCCTGGAATTACATTCTGACCAAGGACGAAATTTTGAATTATGGCAAGAATTAATTAAACTGTTAGACATCATAAAAACACGCACTACGCCTCTACACCCACAGTCCGACAGAATGGTAAAAAGACACAACAGAACGATATGCCAGTATCTTTCAATATTCGTCTCTGATAATCAAAAGGACTGAGACACTTTATTTCTGATAGCCTACCGAAGCTCTGAACATAAAACGACCAGTTATACCCCATCCATGATGATTACTGGAAGGGAGATGAAACTTCCCCATGATCTTCTTTTTGGAAGGCAGCCTCCTGGCGAAGAAGAGATGCGTACTCCTCCCACGTACATACAGAACCCAAAAGAAAGATTAGAGAAGGTATACGAATTCGCTCGTCAACGTTTGAAAGTTAATAGCGATAAAGCAAAAGCTAGAATCGACATGCATGCCACAGGGACACATTTTGAGAGAGGCGATCCACTATGGCTGTATAATCCCAAGCGCCGAAAAGGACTTTGTCAGAAGCTGCAATGGAACTGGGAAGGCCCCTACACCGTCCTCAAGAAAATCAACGACCTGATCTACCGCATGCAGTTGTCAACGAGAAGTAAACCCAAGGTAGTTCACATTGAAAAGTTAGCGCCATACCATGGTTCAGATCCTCCCCGTTGGCTCCAACCAGATCCCAGTAATCAAGTTATTCGAGACGAATAATTAGAGAAGAGGGAGAAATGTGACACTACACCCTGCAGTGGCCTGCGGCCGTTATAGGAAACGTACAAATATGAAAAGAAGTGCAATGTCGCCCATTACACTATAGTGCTCTGCGGTCGTTATAAGTAAAAGTACAAGTAAAAGAAGAAGGAATAGTCCCGAAATGTCTGGAAATGTAATTACCCGTCAAGAATATTATAGATGACTGTTCGAGAAGGTTCGAGAGGGCTCAATCAAGCTATATAAGGATGATCCTGACGTCAGTTCACATTCGAGATCCTGCAACAGTACGAGACGGTACCTGTGTGACGAGCGGACGAGAATAGCCGAAGCGTAATAGAAGTATTGCGGAAGTCACTGCGAAAGCACACTCTCGCTGAAGCATCTGAAGCCGAAGCATCCAGGGTTAAATATTTAGTATTTTTGAAATTTCTTTTAGAAATTTTAATTAGAAAAATATTTTTCCAAAGAAGAATTACCCAAAAGTGTTCAAACCTAATAGTCCTATTTTCGAAAAATTCTTTTTAGAGTTTTTCTTCACTGGGTATCAAACAGTCCGCCTAAATAAATCCCAAAACTCTTTTGGGAATGCTCTTTTAATTAAAAACTCAATACCTTTCAACACACACATAATTCCTGCTCATCTAGCAGAACTTGATGTAATCGCAATAGACCTCCCGGTAGACAATCCATTATCCATCATCTCATACTACAACCACCCAGGCCAAACTATCTCCACATCTCTGATAGAATACCTATCATCACTCCCCCGAGCCGTTTTGCTTGGAGATCTGAACTCCAGACATACCATGTTCGGAGATCATGCCTCAAACCCAAACGGTATCCGCCTAGCTAATCTGCTCATAGACTTCCCGATATTCAGAGCCTCAAACCGACTTCTTACCTTCGTATCCCACCAAGGATCATCTATCATAGACCACATCCTCTTGACAGATTCCTGTACAGGACTGGTTGCTGATAGATGTTTCATTGGAGTGACGATCACCTCCAATCACCTTCCTTTGATGTTACATACATCTCTACTTGCACCCATTCCACCAAGAGCTACCATACACACTTTCTGTAATCTCAAAAAAGCAGATTGGCCACTATCAATGGCCATTAATTTAATTAGTCCCTAGCCCAGTTTCGAACCCGGGTTTTTCGCGTAGAAGGCAGACGCTCTGTCCTCAGCTCCACGGCCACTTTTACGATTTTTGTTTTAATACTCATAATTAAATTAGTTTCATATAGTTTGAATAAAATTTAATTATTTTTCAAAATGTACACCAAATAAAACCAAATTAAAATGCTATTATTTATGGATTCTACACAAAAATAACTCATTTTTTTGTATATTTAATCTCAATAAGTAAAAAATATACTGACAATTATTTTGACAGAATAGTCAATTATTTAAAATTTTAAAAATAATAGTAGTTGGGCGTCAAAAATATGAACTATTATTTGTGGATTTCATTTTTTTTTCAGTGTTCTCAATACCTAAAATGGATATGAAATATATTCGTTCAGTTGAACGCAATAGCATACTTTTTCGTTTTGTAATCTGTAATATTCATATGGTTCTAGAAAAATATATATTTTCGATTAAATGTCATTCGATAATAGTAGTTTGTGCAAGAAGAGTGGATATGATGGCCATATCCCACGAAGACGAAATTTGAGCATGACGCCTAGGCGGTGTGCTCAATCGTCTGAGTGCGATGTGGACAATCCATTCGAGTTGTACAGTATATTTTTTCTACAACCCACTAACGAAAATCTATAAATAAAAAAAATATTTTAGGTTATTTAGACTAAATAACTAATTTTAAAATAATTTATGACTTTTTAAAATAAAATAAACAAAAAAAAAAAGAAAAAGTTTCATTTCATTTTTCCCCATCCAAGAATCGAACTCCACTCTTCCGCGTGGAAGGCAAGAACGCTAACCACAGAGGACCACCTATTCTTTTATTTTTGTTGCTTTAATACTCCTAATTAAATTGACTTCATATAAATTAACAATTAACAAGTTATTTATTATTTATAATTATAGACAAAATAAAAACAGAAATGCTAGTATTTATCGATTCAACACAAGAAGAACCCATTTTAATGTATGATTAATATCAATAACTAAAAAATATACTGACAATTAGTTTGACAGAATTGTCAATTAAAATTTTAAAAATAATAGCAGTCGGTTGATCAAAATATGAACGGTGATTGGTGGATTTCATTTTTTTGAAGTGTTCTCTCACCTAGAATGGATATGAATTATATTCGATCAGTTGAAGGTAACATCATACTTTTTCGTTTTGTAATCTGTGCGTGTAGAAAAAATGTATTTTCGATAAAATTTCCAATTCGATCAAATGTTTTTCAATCAATTTTGTGCCACTCGTGCTAGCTAGGTCTAATAGAAAGACTTCGATATTCCAAGCAGGGGCGGCTTGTGACCAAAATTTTGGGGGTTCGCAGTAGCAGAATATAGATCCCGGTACAGATATAGGTAAAAAACTGTCACTGTTTTAGAAAGGTATATTATAAACTTTCTAAAACACTGAAAGTTTTTTTCATACATCTGTACTAATACCTATATTCTGTCACTGTGAACCCCTCCACGAGCCGCCACTGATTCCAAGGGGGATCACGTGCCCCTTACCTAGTTACGCCACTGATATAAATTTCTCGTATATACCTACATACTACAAGACTATTTTTGATAAAGTAATACATTCAAAAAGAAAAAACCTTATCTGAATGTAATTATTAAATAATTAGTGCATATGACCGAACATTTCTTAATTTCCTTTATTTACCAATTTAATCTGCTCAATTATATCTTTTTACTTAGTAGTAAATATTTTGTTTTTAATTGAATTAAATCAAAGGTTAGAATATTTGTTTATAGTTTATAGATAGTTGTTCTAAGCCAGCACTTGCATGTTATTTTTGAATCTTTTCTTATCTTTATATTATTTGGGTTCGTATTACTGACTTTTATGATATGAACTTTTGACGAACAAAACTTAATTTTGAGACTAGCATTTTATAGTGATTATAATAAGTGCATAACTAAAATTACGTTTCAATTAATTATTTTGTATCAATTTTATACAATTTATTATTAAGGAAGTGCTCGGATTAATTTAATGTTATACCTTATCACTATATTATTTGAATATCAAGATATCGTAAGTCTTATTTACCATAAATATTTATATTTATTTAGGATTAGATATAGGTACCTAAAGTGTACTGTAAAAGTCTTCATTTAGAACTAACTATACACTATATAAAACAATGCATTTTGATTTGAAAACTTGTCATATGCTTCTTCCGTATCGATAAACAAAATATTCCTTTCACGGAAAAAAAATTGTAGAACAAATTTCTACAATTGTAGATTTTTTCTCTACAATAAATAGTACATATAGGGACAGGGACAATTTGTAGTAAAAATTTCCAAATATTTGTGGAGAATGTATTGTAGAGTTATTATCTACAATATTTAGTAAAAAGATCCAAATGCATCATAAGAATTGTTCTACAAATTGTTATAATTTTTGCTATTCATTGCATGAATTTATATTAAAAATGTATTGCGTTTTATGAAAATAAATACGAAAATTTTACACAATAAATAGTAAAAATTCATACAAATTGTAGTAATTTTTAATAAAATTTGTAGTAGTATTCCATAATTATTATAATTATAACCTAGAAAAAAATGTTCCTTAATAAAATATTCAATTTATTGTTTTAATATAAAAGATACAAATTCTTAATTACATTATGTAATAAATAACAGTAATAATAGGGCCCTCAGTCTCAGTTGGCTTTTCTGCACCTGAAAAATATGAAATAAAAATTAATACCAATTGAATTGTTCATACCCTTAAAACGGGGATATTTATCACCTTCACCACTGATTTGGATATTAAATGACTAAGTCAGATAACTACGGCAGCACCATCGTAGCTCTGGGCAACAAGCTTAAAACCACATTCTAAACTTGAAATAATGTCACAAACAATTTTAAACAATGCATCTGTAGTTCGTTCGCTAGTGACGTCCAAAAATCCTAGGAATCGCTCTTGAGGAATGCCATCCAATACATATCGCACAACGATGGATAATTGACTTAAGTTTGCTACATCTGTGGTTTCATCAAGCGCAATTGATACGAAAGGTGCTTTTTTTAATTTCACTTTTAATGTGATCCATCACAACGTTGGCAGTGCATTTATATAAATCATTTTGGATTCTGTTTCAGGTACCTCGGAAAGTCGTCGGATCAATAAAATGATTTTTTAGGGTATCGTCGTATTTTGCTAAAAAAACTTAGAAGGTCCATGTAATTTCCTTGATTGGCAGATACACTTGCTTTATTGTGACCCCTAAAACTTAGTTCATGCTCTCCCAGCAAACAAGTTACATTTATTAATCGTTGCAAGACGTCCCTATTTTTTTTAACCCTTTCCTTGTGAATTTTGTTGCTTATTTTTAAATGATTGTCCAAACTATGTTCAATGCGATAGGTCCCGAATGTTTTTTCTTCAATTGTAGCACTTATATGAGATTTGCTATTTACATGTCGTTTTACACTTTTGTAAAAATTATTCAAGTCTGTAATACCGACTGAGTTCCAATGTGTTTTTTCGGCTATATTAAAAAGCAGGCAAGGCCAGCAAAACAATTTCTTCAAAGTTTTGCAGCCGGTAAACCATTCATACTTTTCATAGAACCCTACGTGAAAATGCCTGGTAAATTTCTTTGCTGACTTTTCTACTTTCGCCTCTAAATTGGTCCTTTAGGATCCTTTAGTCTACTAGAATTAATAATGTCCATTTTCTCTTCAAAATTTCTACTTGAAAATCCTTTTTTCAATAAAAAGCACACAATACAGACACAATTTACCACATTATTATTGTTCACAGACACAGTGCATAGTTCATCCATTTTACAAAAAGAAAAACAACTACGAAAAACAAACCGAAATCTATCTGAAGTCTACGATTTTCCTCACACGTCGATTCGTGGTGCGAATTGCAATATGCGTAAGGCGACGTAAAAATCGCTGCCTCTCGACCGTATTTCACGTGTGCAAACGACTGACTACTGTCGTAGTAAAACAGGGTCAATAACACGAAGCGAAAAGATGAAGCTGAGTCGGCTTTTTTAAGACACGCTTCCGCCGACGGACTCGAAGTATATGGTGTGTGCGTTTACTTTACATAATTAATTTTCTCATTTATACATTACACCAATGAATTTTTAGTACATTTACGAAGTTTACGTAATGTTTCAGAGAAAATATAGTACCTAATTTAATATTAATTTATATGCATTGTAAACTGAAAAATATTTATTTTTAAATCTCAAAGTGTAGGGAAGCGGTGCTTCCCCCGCTTCCATGGACCGCACGCCCCTGCCTTACAGGGACATATTATAGAGTTTTGTTTCCTGTATATTTTTATAAAGAACAAATATGAATTTAATCGAATTTTAAAATTTAGAAAACCGTAAAAAAATATAAATATAAATTAGGTTACAAATAATAATAAGAACATAAATAGAAATAGACCAATTATGATTTTTTTTTAATTTTTTTTATTTATTGGACAATTAGTCTTCTAGGGAAAATAAGAAAAACTTTTTTTAATTTTCAGTATTTTCCAGCAATCAAACAGGTGACTGATTAATATCTTAAAACATTTAATGAAATGAGAGAAGAAAGCATTTACGGTAAGCAGATAATCATTATTGATTGTTTATTAATTTCAGAATTCATAATAAATATTATTATGCATTTTTCAACAACAGCGCGTTGGATTTTTTACAAACATATACGATATCGTAGAGGTCATGCATGCATTTATTTATTAAATATAAATATAATTGTTTATATAATTGTGTCTCTCTGAGTAATTTTGTTATATTTTGTACAATATGTTGTAATGATTAACGTAAATCAATTATTTGCGTGTTTTTGTGGAAAAGCCAAAAGTAAGTGTTTATCTATAATTCTAGAACTATCTGTATATTATAATGAGCTCATCTAAATGTCAAGTTGTCATATATATAGTTGTTTGACAAATATCAGGAAGTAAATGGAGAATATTTTGAGCCACTTCTGTAACAATTTCTAGTTTATTATGGTTATAATTTATTAGTGTTGAAGATATAATAGCATACCTACTTTACGAAAAAGATTTTTTATGTTCTCAAATATATTATAAAATTACTCCAAACGAATAATAATAAAATCTCACCATTTAAGTTGAGTTCTAACGTACTGTTAATATATAAGTAAAGTAAATTAAATCGGTCCCAAAACAGTATCTTGTGGCACACCAAAAGTGACTTTCTAGTTTACTAATAATACTCTCTAATTCAACTTTTTGTACCCATGGTTTACTGTGTCAAAGGCTTTAGAGGGGTCTAGAAATGTAGCTATTATCGTAATTTTTTGCCTAAACATTCGTAAACATGAAGTTAATTTATATTGACATCATCCACAGATCGTACCTCTTAAGCGCGTAGCTAGGTTGTTTTCTTGGGGGGGGGGGGTAACACTTTTCACATTATTTATGAATGCGCAGCGTGTTATCTTAGAATATGGTACCAATGCAACGTCTAGAGTTCATATGTGTATTTCCTGATAGTGTGAATTTCATAAATACATATTTTCTAAATATCTTCCCTTACAGTAAAGACTTTAACTTAAAAATATGTATATGATAGGTAATCGTTATTATTAGTTAACACACTATTTCGATAAATTACCATAACCCATTGACGTTAAATGAAGGGTTAATTTTATTTAAAACTTTTTGAACACCTTACATTTCATAAATATGGCTAATTTTAAGTTCAATTTACTCAATTTTGTCAAATGCAACACACTGTATATTATTTTCGTATAAAATTCCTTATACATTTACCTATCCAACGATACCAACATGTCCCAATAGTGCGTAATTGATCGATAGCTGTTTTATTATTGGAAATAGGAAGAACAATTTTAATATAAAAGTTGTATGACCATGTTTAATAAATATTCTTAAATATACAGGGTGGTCCATAAACAAAGGGCTGACCAAACTTATACATTTTTATATTTGTTTTCACATCGTCAAACAACTTTAATTTCATTTATTTGCTATGTTGTATATAGGGTGTTTCAAAATGAGGAGTAAAGATTTTCTGATTTTTTAAATGAAATACCATATATGTCATACCATTAATTAATTGATACAGGGTATTCCATTTAAAAAATTGAGAAAATCGTAACCTCACGTTTTGACACACCCTATATACAATATAGCAAATGAATGAGGTCATTTATAATTGTTTGACGATGTAAAAACAATCAAATATGTATTACTACCTGTAAGGTGTTTTGCTTTAAAAAAATATAGATTTGGTCAGCCCCTTGTGTATGGACCACCCTGTATATTTATGAATATTTGCTAAATATGGTCATACAACTTTTATATTAAACATTTATTCATTTTTCTAATAATAAAATAGCTATCGATCAAATATGCACTGATGTTATTGACTAACACATTGGTATTGTTACATGAGCAAATTTATAGGGAATTTTATGACAAGATAATATACAGTGTGTTGCGTTTAAAAAAATTGAGTAAATTGAACTTAAAATTAGCCATATTTTAGACATGTTTCAAAATACTCTGTATAGAATAAACCAGTTGTATTACCTCTATTCGTTAGCTTAGTATTTTATAAGTCTGTATATTAAATAATTTTGAAATTAATGTAAACCTACCTAAATTATAATAATTTAATTTGGGGTCTGCATCATTCTCTAATTAAAAAAAAAAAATAAATTGTTTGGTAACACTGTAATATTTTTTAAGAACATTCTAGAGTTAAATACAGTATTCCCAACCATTCTAAAAATAAAATAAAATATAGGGTGTTCTACTTAAAAAACATATATTTTTATTTGCCAGGCAAAAACGCAACACCCTGTATATCCAAAAAATTTTTAAAATATGTATTTTTCAAATCAATATAACTTTTAATAAAACTTGTTTGCCTGTCAATAACACAAGTTGAAATATTGAACAATTACGAACTAATGGGACCCTGTATATAAATTTTAATTTTCAATTTGCAGGAATTTATTATTTAAGATGACAATGTTTGAGAAACTCTTAGTTTTATTGTATTTTTCTCTCTATTTTTGTTTAATATAACGTTTAAAAAAATATTGATGTTGACTATGGCTTGGGGTGGGGGTAATTACCCCCATTACCCCCTAATCTACGCCCTTGGTACCTCTCTAAAGCCATATTGACAATTACAAACTATTTTGTATTTTAAAAAACGCATACAGGGTGAGCCACCGGTAAAGCGTCGGTCTGTAAAGCCAAAACTGATTGTTTTTTAAACTGTTTCCACAACGAGATGCATATCAGAAAAGGCAATATTTTGAAAATAATTTAAATTATACAAATATTCACTCGTTACATCAAGTAAGGCATTTCGTAACTGGTTTTATAAATAGCTATAAAATTGTAGGATAGAGTAGGAACTAAATACGAAACAATATGTATTAATTATTGGGGAAGACAAGCGAAAAAAATTACCTAATAAACAATTACCTATAAACTATTTTGTGAATTATCTTCTGTCATTTAAATTTAAATATCTCTCAAAATTATTATAGGTGTAGATAATACTTAATACAAATGAATGTATAATTAGGGTACTTTTGAATGCTGTTATAAAATACAGGGTGGTCGAATAAAAAAAAATAGAGAATATCGTCGCTGTAAAGGCAAAAGCTGCTATATGGGATTTTGTTACAAGTTGAGATATTACTTTACATGACATATTTGGACTTTGTTAAACCTTCCTGTAAAATAATTTGGTAATATAATTGTATTCATTACATAGTATTTTAGATTATAAAATATGTTATGTGAGGAGATGTCGGTCTCATTATTAAGTTTTTTCAGCCTCCTGTAAAATTTGCTAAGACCTACATAGCAGATTTTGACTTGACAACAACGATATAGTGTATTTGAGTTTTGACTTGCCCTGTAGGAATAAAAATAAATAGTGCAACGAAAAAATTGGTTTTCAATTATGCAGTTTGCATACTGTATACAGGTCACTGAAATCAAAACGATTTTCACATAAAACTGTGTGAAATACCCTCTGTAATCCCATATTTGATATACAGGGTGGCTTACGCTCAACGGGACGGAGCTTTATGGGAAAACGACCAAAGACATAAAAAATTCGTTTGGGAGGAATACGTAGGTTACAGACGGCTACAATTTAAAATTTGTTAGATGTATACAGGATGTCCCACATAAATGAAAAAAAATTAGTTTCGTTAAAAATTATTCAAACAAGAGTAAACAAATAATTTCTGGAAGACTTTTTTTCCTTAAAAATTCAAATAAATCGAAAACTAATAATAATAGTAATAGGGAACCTTTAGTTAACTGACATTATTTTTGATGTAGTTTTTAATTCTAAAATAAAAAACAGGGTGTTCCATTAAAAATAATATAACTTTGTATATTTTCTCTTATGTGGGACATCCTGTATACATCTAACAAATTTTAAATTGTAGCCGTCTGTAACCTACGTATTCCTCCTAAACGAATTTGTTATATCTTTGGTCGTTTTCCCATAAAGATCCGTCCCGTTGAGCGTGAGCGTGAGGTAGTAATGAAAAAGGAAAAAGCAAGGGCAATTTAAATATAAAATAAAATATAGGGTGTCCCATTAAAGAAACCCAAACTTTGATATGTATCAATTTCTTGGAGAGCCTTGTATAATCGAAATTATTTTCTGACATACATATCGCTATGAAAACAAAAAATCAGAAGGTTTTGTATCTACAGATCAAGGCGTTACACCCTGTATATTGTTTTTTATTTAATTTTGGCTTGCGCGTTCTAATAGGTACAGCTGCTCTGCTAGCATTAACTTTTTGGAAAAAATAAAATAAAATCAGGGAACTTTAAACCAGCAAACAACAACAAAGCATGCACTGATAAAGACAAGTAATTACAATCTATTGTAGACGTCAATATCTCGAGACCAATTAGTGATAAATAAGTTTTAGTAAGCTCGTGTGATACAAAAAGTTATGGATGAAGGTAAATTATTCTTGTGTTTACATAAAATAGTTAAAAAATTAAAAACATTGCGATTCTTACATTTGTTATGATAGATAATAGTAGTTTGTACAACAAGAGTGGATATGGACAATCCACTCGAGTTGTAAGGTACATTTTTCTACGACCCACTAATGAAAATCTACAAATTTAAAAATTATTTTAAATTATTAAGACAAAATAACTAATTTAAAAATAATTTATTACTTTTACTAACTTATAAAATAAAATAAACATAAAAAATTATTTAAATTAATTAGTCCGGCGCCCAGATTCGAACCTGGGCCTCTTACGTGGAATATAGATGTCATATCCTCATCTCCACCTCCACATTTAGGATTTTAGTGTTTTAATATTTGTATTTAAATTAGTCTCATTTATTTTAATTCAAATTTACAAATTTTTTTAAAGGTGTACCAAATAAAAATAAAAATGCTATTATTTATCGATTCTATACAAAAATAACTCGTATTAATGTATATTTAATCTCCGTAACAAAAAAAAATGGCTCTATGACTCCTTCCGTGGAGTCGCCTTTGATTCCAAATATTTTGAATAGACCTTTTCATCACCAATTGTTTTTGTGCGCATGTGTTAGTATCAGCCATCTTTTTCGTACTGTTTTTGTAAACAAGCATGTTAAAATGACCACGTGAAAAAAATTATGATCGATAAATATTAATTTAAGTATATTCATTCAAAAAAAGGAGGAAGAAGCAAAGTAATAATAAGTTTAGTGTCTTAATTGAAAAATACATTTTTGCAATCAATTATAATAATTATATTACCTGTACGGAAAGGAACAACGAAACGGTGTTGTTATGGAGTATGTAAAAG